TTTTTTTTTTTGAGAGGTTTTGGCTATAGGGCTCATGCGCTTGCCAGAAAGACAAAGAGAGACAGAGAGATAGAAAGCAAGAAATCACCCGCCAGGAGGGATGGCCACGCCACAATCCCTTCTCCTCCATTCTCCTCTCGGGATCTTGGGCACGCATGCACGCGCGCCCGGCATGAGTTTAAGTCACTGGGTCCGGGACTCGAACCGTGGTTGACTATATGGGAGTCCAGCGACATAGCCATTATGCTAACTGCTGGTCCCTTTTTTCTCCATTCTTCATCCTATCAGGATCCTGAGCATGCATGTATGTGTGTTCAGCACATTGCTGCCAGGCTGAGATTTGAACCAGGGTCTGCCATGTGGGATCCCATTTTCTTTGCACTTAACCATGATGCTATAGAACTGGCCCTTATTTTTGTTCTTTTTATTTGTCCTTCTCTTTTCTTCTTCCTCCTGTTTCTTTGCTTTGTCATCACCCATTCTGACCAGCACCCTGATGTGTTTTTCCCATGCCTGTCTCATCTAGAAGCCTGATTTCAAACTCACCAGGTCAGAGCCTGAGTTTTCATTACATAGCTCTGTATAGTATGGATACTTGCTTTATTTGTTTTGTTTTGTTTTGAATTTGGTAGAAGGCCTGTGTTCTCACTGGAGAGAGACAGAGCGAGCGAGAGAGTGAAAGAGAAGGGAAGTGAAAAATCACCCTTCATTGAGGGACAGCTACATTGCAATCCCTTCTCCTCCATTTCTCCCTCCTCTGGGATTTTGGGCATGCACACGCACACATTCAGCATGTTTTTCAAGCTGCCAGCTCCAAGATTTGAACCTTGCATTTGGCCATATGGTTTCTAGCTGCCTTAACTACTGTACCATAGGCTGGCCCAAACTTTTTATGAATGTTAATTTCCTCTACTGGGTCTTTTGTTTGTCTCTGACTACCAATGTGATTGCAAAGGCCAGGGCTCCTGGGTTATCTTCCTTCTTCCGTGAAGAAGCAATTCTGAGAGGGTATCAACAGCTGGACTTACAAAAGAGGAGAAGAAACCTTCT